ATTTCCAAAGTTGAGCTACTTAAAGAAAACCTGGGTTGCTACTGCGATATCATCAGTACAAGAGCCAAATAAAACACAATTACTCCCCCAAACTTGGCACACATTGTCTGAATTCAAATCCAGAAAGGCAATCCAGCAAGAGCAGTCACTGGAAGTTTTCTTAATCTCCTTACATTTAAATAGAGTACAATATAACCAGTATGTCAATCTTTTCCCCCTAGAAGCTATTAACATGTTATCTGCTCTTGGTTAAAACATTTCAGTCCATGGGGCATCTCTAAATTTTGATTAACCTTGCTAATATATAATGAATGTGCTAATAGACAAAACTGAAAACTCTTGAAGGCAGCACAGACGGCTCTGGGTGCCACTGTGGGAACTTCATTTAGCTTCTTGAAAGGTGTCAGGGGACAGGTTCAGATCAATGGGCACACAGATGAGGAATTCTTTGTACCACGAACATTCGATACAGTGGAAGCAAAGAAGTCCTAATCAAGCCCTCGAAGCTAGGGTATCAATCAAAGGAGTAACAGTATACAGAAATTACAGTAGAGAAAACTTGTCCAGGGTCTCTGTAGAAAGAACACAGGTACTGAAGTTAATCCATCAGCTTGCATCTGCACCAGGGCCCATTTCTGGCACTAGAACTACTGTTTCAAAATGTATTTGTATTTAGCTGTCTATCACAAGCAAATTTCTATCGCTGCACAAACAGAATTCAGGTTCAGACTTCTGTCCAATTTCCTTTCCTCTCTTAAAAAACAATATTCTAGACACGAACATTCGTTTCTTGCAGCCGACACTTAAGTATTCACGGCAAAAAAAGAAAAACTTAGAAATGGGAGACACACAGTCAGTTTTTCTTTTCCTTGATTTCTTGTGACTATTTTATAATGAATTAGAGGTCAGTAAAAAGTCCCTTTAATATTTAATAAATCTTCAAGTAGACAAGTAGAATGCAAGGGATTTACACTTTCAATCATCAATCAAGAATCTCTCCATGAACGAAACCATCTGGGACTCAGGCCTCCCTATCATGTTTTTTAAGCTGACCCACTTCTCCATCACTCACCAGGGTTCGAAAAATCTCACTTCTAAGGGGGTAAGCAAGAACCGCTCTGGGCCAGTGCATAGTTTGAATCCAATAGGGTAAAAGGGTAATGCAAACACCACTTTAAAAGGACACCAGTTTTTATTTAAAATGACCCTCTGCCCCTAAAAATAGCATCAGCACCAGCCTTCACCTGAAGCAATCTTTTCTCTAACAGAAGAGCAAATCAAGTCTGCAGGGGAGAAAGGGGGCAAATGCAAAGGATTAAGAAACCCAATCAAGAGTGAAAAGGACTGGTGAATTGAGTTTTGGAGATCAAATACCAGCTTTGCAAAGTGGATGCGGCCAGGTCAGCGAGAGCCGGGTTCAGGGGGTCGGCCCTGCTCTGAAGAGCTCTAGGGACACCCGAGGCGGTGCAAAGCCCAGTGTCCCAGCAGGGGCCGGGCCCAGGATCCCCTCGGCGCCCTCGACCCGGCCGAGGAGGCAGAACTTTGCGCAGTTCGCCGCCGGCAGCTCAGACACCACCAGGGGCACCTCCACACCGCTCCACCCTCACGTTTGCCCATTCTTTTCGGGTGGCGGCTGCGGAGAGGGAGTCTGAAGGGACTTAACAAGGATGGCAGGGGGCAGAGGAGGGCGACCTCCCACCCCAGGCTGCGTCCGCCACAAAGGGAAGGGCGGCGCGCCTCTCCTCGGCGCCCATCAGTGCCACCCGCGGGCGAGGTAGCACGCGCCTCCAGGGCCAGGCCGCCAGCGGGGATGGGCGAGGCCGGCCGGGGGCGCGCGGCAGGTGACAGTCGTGTCGCCCGTCCCCGCGCGGGCCCCAGCCTCCCCGCCCACCACGGGCCTCGCCTCCCCGCACACTGTCCTCTTCCGGAGCCAGCCGTGCGCCCCGGACCTCACCGTGGGTTCCGCGCCGCTGCGAAGCCATCGCCGGACGGAGCGGCCGAGGGGCCCCCCCGTCCCGGAAGCCGGCACCCGAGTGGGAGACCCTGGCGCGCGCGGTCCCCGCCCTGTCGCGCCCAATGCGCCCGCGCGCCGCCCCTACCCTTTGGCGTGCTCCGTCTCCTCCTCATTGTCCCCGTCTATCCCGCACGTGTCCTGGTCGTCCAGTTCCAGGCTCTGCTGGCTGGCCGCAGACTCGCTGTCCTCCGCCATAGCGGCGGCGCTGACTGGGGAGGCGGTGCTCTGGGCCGGGCCGGCGCGGCTGGGCGGGCGCGGCCGCAGCTCCCTCTAGTGCCGCCCGCCGTCCTGCTCCGAGTCTGAGCCCTGGCGCCGCGCCCCGCCCCGCCCGCCGGCCCCGCCCACGCCCTGCCCGCCTGCCCCCCAACACCCCCCGCCCCGCGGGCTTCAATCCCGCTCTCTAACCCCGCCCGCTTCTCCGGGCCCTCCCCATCCAGCCCCGCCTCTCCCCGCCCCACCGGCTTCAATCCCGCTCCGTAACCCCGCCCACCTCTGCTGCCCCCCCTCCAGCCCCGCCTCTCCCCGCCCCGCCGCCTTCAATTCCGCCCTCTAACCCCGCCCACCACTGCGGCCCCTCCCCCCAGGCCCCGCCCCGTCCGCGCCATCCCTGCTCACCTTGGCCACCTGGGCGCAGGAGAGATCCCGGTCATCCAAGCCGGCGCGGTACCTCTGCCTGGGGCTCGGCTCTCAAGGCTGCAAACGTGCAAGACTTGCCATCATGAGTGGCTGCATTTTTGGAACACAGGCCGTGTGATTTTTCTTCTGGATGAGTTAGGGAGCGCTCCCAATCCGTGCAGGGGTTCCCCACTCAGGAGTAGGAGCTCAGGTCTGGGGCTTTGCAGAAGCTCTTCTCGCCCTCTCAGTACATGCTGTTAACAGTTCCATTTCGCATCTGTCTATCCTTCTAATACGTTATGAAATCAAATTCAAAGTCAAAACAGAGTACTTCCAACCTACCCACCACCCCGTTCCTATCAGGCTTGCAGCACTAAAACTCTTGACAGAGAAATTCTTGAGCTACCCGTGCTTTCTCTGAACACTACGGACGGCTCAGACCACAACAGACATCTTGAGGGACATGGGAACGCATCCACAATGCTGGGGGATTGGACCGTTTCAGGTAGGCCACTCTGGCTTTCCCAAGGTCAAGGTCATGACCTAGATGTCCAAGCAAATGTGCACAGCCTTCTGTGCTGAAATCGTCCTTTGTCTTTCTCAGAAAAGGGAAGAAATGCACTCTGTAGGACTGCCAAACAGAAGGCCGGCAAAGTTCAGCCTCTCTTATTTGCTATTTCGTTCTGTACAGAGCAGCCCTGTCCTTTGCTTTGCTAAGATGATCTTTTTCAAAGGTCCTGCCAAGCCACCGGAAGTTTCTGCGGTGGTTTTTGCAAACGTAGTCATCAGAACCCTCTGAGTGAGGAACATGAGACTTTAAAGAATCACCTGAATTTTTTTTGGTGGGTCCTTTATTTGTAGAAGATACTAGGAGCATTCTGTGGCTTTTTTTTCCCCCAAGGGAGACTATGTTTTTAAAACGCAATGAGCTAGAAGTATCAAAAGATGAAAACTGCAGAACAATTTCAAAGTCCATCAGCTGTTTGGCATTGAGACAACTAAAATTCTGTAAGAAGAGTAAATGGGGCCAAAACACAAAGGAAATACAATATTGTCCTTAATAATTACAACTCTTTCTGAGGCAGAATGTCACATATTACCTCTGTGAAACTTTAGGATAAAAGCAAGTACAGATCAATGAGGTTCCTGCAGCTCACCTCTATGAACATGGGATTTTGGAGAACCATAGCCAGCTTCGGTAACCAACAGGAAACTGGCCAGGAGCAAGCCTATCAATCAGATCAGCAACTCTAACCTGTCAGAAGGTTTTCCAAAAGAGTTTTTTTAAACATAAGGCGGCTGCATGCAGTGGCTCATGCCAGTAATCCCAGCACTTTGGGAGGCCGAGGTGGGCGGATCACCTGAGGTGAGGAGTTCGAGACCAACCTGACCAACATGGAGAAACCCCATCTCTACTAAAAATACAAAATTAGCCGGGTGTGGTGGCTCATGCCTGTAATCCCAGCTACTTAGAAGGCTGAGGCAAGAGAACACTTGTACCTGGGAGTCGGAGGTAGTGATGAGCTGAGATCGCAACATTGCACTGCACCCTGGGCAAAGAGAGAGAAACTCTGTCTCAAAAAAAACCAACCAACCAAACAAATAAACAAAAAATAAGGCAAAGGAAACTCAGTATACATATATTTATTTGAATTTTCATAAGTTTTGACCAAGAACTGCTCTAAGAAAGAATTAAAAAACAAATAATCCTGGAGAAATAAAATGAGGGTATCAAAAACCAGTGAAATACTAGAAAACAACTAACAGAGAACATCTGTTCCCCAGAATGGAAAGAAGTTGGTCTAGACATCAGTACAGTACTGAAGTATTACATAATACAAATGTTTTACAGCATTCATCTTTAGAAGGAGGGAAAAGTTTACAGATGAGCCTGGAGCTTCCTAAATCCTACTGTCCTGTATGGAAACACTATGTTTTTAAACATTTTTACTTCTTTCCCTGGCTTAATTCCAAAGTTTGGAGAATTGGAACCAAGGGGTATCTTCCAGCATCTCAGATATAAAGTTCATTTGGGCCGGGCACGGTGGTTCGCGCCTGTAATCCCTATACTTTGGGAGGCCAAGGCAGGTGGATCATCTGAGGTTAGGAGTTCAAGATCAGCCTAGCCAACATGATGAAACCCTTTTCTATTAAAAATATAAAAAATTAGCTGGGCATGGTGGTACGTGCCTGTAATCCCAGCTATTTAGAAGGCTGAGGCAGGAGAATCACTTGAATCTGGGAGGCAGAGATTGCAATGAGCTGAGCACTCCAGCCTGGGCAGCAAGAGCAAAACTCCATCTCAAAAAAAGAAAATAGTTTATTTGGTGGATGGGAGCACTGTAGAGTGGATGCCAGTGTATTTTTTTGCTTTTCAAGTTTCAGTTATTTATTAATCAGTGTAATCTCCAATATATTACATCAACATGATTTTATGCATTTAGAGGAGAACTATTTCCTGGTTAAGTAGAAACCTGTGTGGATGGCTTCTGGAAGGCTTTCATTCTAAAGCAGCTTTATACTGAAACATTTCATTCAGAAATCTGGAGCTTCTTTCTTGAGTTTGCTGTAATCCACATTGATTGAGTAGAACCTGTATTGATCATCAGGACCCAGTTTGTTCCAGGGCACTGGGTTATTCTTTCTGTCCCAACTAACATCTGGATTGAACAATGCCAGACGCAAGAGATACAGTGCTGCTCCAGTACATCCAGCTCCAGTAAATACAAAGAGGGGCATCAAGCTCGGATGCTTCTTGGCCTGATCAATGATCTGGCAGAGCATGTTTGTGGCAGAGGCAACGATTGGAAAGAAGAGAGCCAGCCTAGCCACCAGGCCCTGGGCTAAGTAGTATCTCACCAGTGTATTTTAAAGGGCCTTTGGGAATTTTCTATTCTGCCTGGTCCACTCCTACTACAGATGTAAGACTATAGTTGTGTACTTGGTCTTGTTTTAACTTATAACTTCTTTTTTAATTTTGGTAAAAATACATACAACATAAAATATACTATTCTAACTATGTTTCTCTCTTTCTTTTTTTGAGAAGGAGTTTTGCTCTCGTTGCCCACGCTTGAGTGCAATGGCACGATCTCAGCTTACTGCAACCTCTACCTCTCAGGTTCAAGCAATTCTTCTGCCTCAGCCTCCTGAGTAGCTGGGATTACAGGCACCTACCACCACAGTTGGCTAATTTTTGTAGTTTTAGTAAAGATGGGGTTTCACCATGTTGGCCAGGCTGGTCTCGAACTCCTAACCTCAGGTGATCCACCCACCTCAGCCTCCCAAAGTGCTGGGATTACAAGTGTGAGCCACTGCATCTGCTTATCCTAACCATATGTAAGTGTACAGTTTAATAGTGTTAAATATCCTCACATTGTGGTGCAACCAAATGTGAGGATATTTAACAAAACTTTTTCATTTTGGAAAACTGAAACTCTACACCCATTAAACCACAATTCCCCTTCTCTCCTCAGGCGCCAGAACTCACCATTCTACTTTCTGTTTCTGTGAGTCTGACTACCCTAGATACCTCACAGAAATAATCTGTCTTGTCGAGGTGCAGTGGCTCACGCCTGTAATCCCAGCACTTTGGGAGGCAGAGGCAGATAGATCAAGAGGTCAGGAGATTGAGACCATCCTGGCCAACATGGTGAAACACTATCTCTACCAAAAATGCAAAAAGTAGCTGGGCGTTGTAGCGGAGGCCTGTAATCCCAGCTACTCAGGAGGCTGAGGCAGGAGAAATGCTTGAACCCTGGGAGGTGGAGGCTGCAGTGAGCCGAGATGGTGCCATTGAACTCCAAACTGGCGACTTTTGGAGTCAGAAGATGGCACTGAGATGGTGCCACTGCACTTCAAACTGGTGACAGAGCAAGACTCAGACTCAAAAAAAAAAAAAAAAAAAAAAAAGAAGTATCTGTCTTTTGGTGACTGCTTTATTTCACTTAGCACAGTGTCTTCAAGGTTCAACCATCTTGCAGCATGTGTCCGAATTTCGTCACTTTTTAAGGCTAAATAATCTTCCATTGTATGTATTTACCACATTTTACTCATCCGTTCATCCACTGATGGACATTGGGTTGCGTCCACCCTTTGTCTATTGTGAAGAATGCTGTTATAATCACATGGATACAAATATCTCTTCAAGACTCTGCTTTCGATCCTTTTAAACGTATCTTCCAGAAGAAGTGCTAAATGATATGGTCATTCTGAGAGTTTTTGAGGAACTGCCATACTGTTTTCCACAGTGGCTGTGCCATTTTACAATTGTACCAACAGTAGACAAGAGTTCCAGTCTCTCCGTTTCTTCTTCAACACTTGTTATTTTCTATTTTTCTAATAGCAGTAATTCTAACGGGTATGCAGTAATACAACTTCTTTATATAATCAGCCACTTATATGTAACCACTGTTTCTTCTTACGAAGTACATTTTTTAGACCAAAACAATAACAAACTTTTAAAAATCAAATATAATACAGGAATACATTGGGGATAGTTATATTATTTATAAGAGACTATGCAATTACAATGAGTATTATGCTTTTTTTTTTTTTTTTTTTTTTTTTTGAGATGGAGTTTGTCACTCAGGCTGGAGTGCGATGGCACGATCTTGGCTTACTGCAACTTCCGCCTCCCCAGTTCAAGCCATTCTCCTGCTTCAGCAGCAGGATTACAGGCATACACCATGAAACCTGGCTAAAATTTTTTTGTATTTTTTGTAGAGACAGGGTTTCACTGTGTTGGTCAGACTGGTCTCAAACCCCTAACCTCAAATGACCCCTCCACCTTGGCCTTCCAAAGTGCTGGGGTTACAGGCATGAGCCACCAGGCATGACCTGCAATTACTTTTAATTGCAAAAGAATCTAAAAAAAATAATAATTAACTAGAAGATAAAATCTGAGGAAATAGCCCAGAATGCAGTTCAGAGGAATGGAAAGACAAGCAATGGAAGGAGTAAGAGCCGTGGGTGACCCGGCAAGGCCTGCAGTGCTTCCTCCTGCCCCGCAGAACAACACCCCACCATGAACACAAGCTTGGGTTGGCTGGCTGCTTGGGGGGCAGAACCGAGCTGAGCCAGGCTGGGCCGTGGGGACTCAGTGCTCAGTCAATCCACCAGCTGACCACAGACACCTCGGAGAGTCCACTCGTGTGGTCAGCATAACTTCCCAGCTGGCCAGCAAACTTGAGAAATATTAATAAATGATTGTTGTTGGGCTGGGCACAGTGGCTCATGCCTGTAATCTCAGCTGTTTGGGAGGCCAAGGCAGGCAGATCATGAGGTCAGGAGTTTGAGACCAACCTGGCCAACACGGTGAAACCCCATCCTTACTAAATATACAAAAAATCAGCCAGGTATGGTGGTGAGCACCTGTAACCCCAGCTACTCAGGAGGCTGAGGCAGGAGAATCGCTTGAACCCAGGAGGCGGGGGTTGCAGTTAACCGAGATTGTGCCATTGCACTCCAGCCTGGGAGAGAGGACGAAACTCTGTCTCAGGAAAAAAAAAAAAAAAAAAAAAAAAAAAAAAGTTGGTTGTTTTAAGCTATTAAATTTTGGAGTGTTTCTTTTCATTTTTAAAAGTTAATTTATTATTTTTTTTTAGATGGAGTCTCTCTCTGTTTTCTAGGCTGGAGTGCAGTGGTGCCATCTCTGCTCATTGCAACCCCCACCTCCTGGGCTCATGCAATTCTCCTGCCTCAGCCCCTGGAGTAGCCGGGATTAAAAGCACCCACCACCACACCTCGCAAATTTTTATATTTTTAGTAGAGACCGGGTTTAACCATGTTGGCGAGGCTGGTCTCGAACTCCTGATCCCAAGTGATCTGCCTGCCTTGGCCTCCCAAAGTGCTGGGATTACAGGCGTTAGCCACCTCGCCTGGCCTGGAGTGTTTTATTCTGCAGTAATAACTAACCAACCTGCAGAAGAACAAAGACCAAAAGAAATCCTTAAAGACACTCATTTTTTACTATCACAGTTACTGTCTGTATACCTGGGTATGTCCGAAAAAGATTCATGCCAAACCGTTAGTTTGCACTGTCCATTCTGGGCTCACAAAAGCAAAGCCATTACTTCAGCAATATACTGGCTATTCTTCCTAGCTGGTTTGCTTTAGAGGTGTGTTTGGCTGGGTTTTATTTTTTAAATGACTATTTCTTTCTAATTGTTGAGGAACCCTGTAACTACCCTGCACCTTTTGCAACTGTGCATTGGAGGAGCGTTTCTTGTGGTCACTGTGAGGGTAATTTTCACCCCCTGTTGCTTGGTATTCTGCAGAAAGGTTTTCATACTTGCTCAAACCAGCAGGTTGGTGCCATGGTGAGTATTGCAGATCAGCTGCATTTCAGAACTTCGCAACTGGTGAGTCTGCACCTTGTCCCAGTAGGACAAGTTGAGGCTTGAGGGTGGTGCCAAGGAAAATTCTAGAGGAGACGGAATGATGCCACAGCAGATGGAGGTATGTGTTCATTTAGGAGCTGGAAGGTGCCTCTGTTGTATAAGTAGGGTCACCTTGAAACTACACTGCTCGCCAAACTCCTTAAATGTGTTCAGGCTTTCTCCACGTGTGCATCACCAGAGAGTTGGATAGTTTATTGCCAGAGTCCGTTAGCTCTTTTTTGATAAGGATGATATTCTGGAAGTACACTGTCTCATTGGATATTTTAACTAGAAGTAGCAATACTAGAGGAGGCAAAAGGATCTATTCTAGCCTGTCCGTGATTAGAGCTTCTGGCCCTTTCAGGAAGAAAGGATGGAGGAAAAAGTAACTGGTAAAGAAAGTGAGGGTACTAGGTAAAGAAGAGGAAGAAGGTAGAGGAAAACCAGGAGAGGGAGGAGGAAACAAAGGAGGGGCAGAGGTGAGCACCAGCTGTATACATGACGAGGGCCGCATTCGCCTCCAGATGTCTCTCTCCCTGCCTCCAGGCTTCGAGGCTCTTTGCAATAGAGCTGCTTGGAAAATTCTTCCATAGCAATCTGAGCATGCTCATCCTCTGACTTAGAAACTCTGTGGTGCCCAGTTGCCTCTGCATCAAGTCAAATCCCCCTAGGTTGGCGTTCAAGGCCTTCCGCACCCTGGCCTCACCATACCTCTGGTCTTAGGTCCAACCTGAGACTCTCCAGGTCCTCCATTTGCCCTGCGCCCCCTTCCTTATCTCTGGAGGCACCAGGTCCTTAAATGCCCTCTTGTTACTCCCACCATCACTAAGGACACAGCTTCTGTGTTTCCTCCCCTGCCAAGGGTTTATATGCTGGCCGTCATCCCAGCACTGGCCCAGCAGCTCCTGAAGAATCATACGTCATGTACTTCTCTCTGTATCTCCATCACCTAAACAGTGCCTGAAACCAAGAGGACCCTTCCTAAGAGCTATAGAATGAATCAATGAATCCATGGCCAGCCCATACCTTTTTAAAGGTGTTTTTAAATTTCATTTTCTTTGTATTATTTCAGATGGGATCTCACTCTGTCACCCAGGCTGGAGTGCAGTGGTACAATCTTAGCTCACTGCAACCTCTGGCTCCCAGGTTCAAGCCATTCTCCCACCTTAACCTCCTGAGAATCTGGAATTATAGGCATGTGCCACCACGCCCGGCTAATTTTTGTATTTTTTAGTAGAGATAGGGTTTTACCATGTTGGCAGGCTGGTCTCAAACTTCTGACCTCAAGTGATCTGCCCACCTTGGACTTCCAAAGTGCTGGGATTATGGGCATGAGCCACCGTGCCTGGCCTTAGCTGTTTTTTTTTTTTTTTTTTAATTAAAAAAAATTTTTTTTAAGATAGGGTCTTGCTCCGTTACCCAGGCTGGACTTTGGTGGCAGAATCAAAGCTTACTGCAGCTTCTAACTCCTGGATTCAAGAGATCCTTCCACTTCATTCTAAAGTTTTAGGAGGGCCACTAATAATACAGCCCATAGAATTTACAGGCTGTGGTGTGATAATTCAATACATACATGTAATCTATATTGATCAAATCAGAGTAATAGCAAAAAAC